AAAAAAAAAAAGGTTCCTTTTAATGAGCAATTTTCATGAAATACAAAGTTAAACGAATACCAAAAGATCCAAAATTTCAACATTTTCCATGTGGAAAATTATATCAATCAAACACAATTAATTAACAATTCCGAAAAAAACAATTCTAGGCAATTCAATTTCTTGGAATTTATTTTCTTTCCACCCAAATTTCACTCTTGCAATTAAACGGACCCTTAAAAATATTTGGCGGTGAATGAAGAAAGATGAGGGATGGTGTTTGTGTTACTTTTGAAAAAAAAAAATTCTATCACTTTATTGAATTGATTCAAATGTTTTAATTGGTGTTTTGTCACTTTTTTGAATTTTTGTTACTTTTGTAAGTGTTTGTCACATTTTCTTTTTTAATTTCTGTCGCTTTTTTTAACATTTGTCACTTTTTTTGTCGTTTTGTTGAAATTTTTGTCACTTTGTTGAGTGAAATACATCACTTTTTAATAAAAGTAACATTGTATATCGTTGTTTAATTAAAAAGTGACATTATAAAAAAAGTGGCACTTAATTTTACATAGTTTTTTTTACTTCCAAAATACTTTTCATTTGATTTTTTTAAAAGTTCCCTAATTTTAATTGGTTGAATTGGTAGATGACGGTAGTGATGAATTGATTTAAAGATGTTTGACATTTTGATCTGTGTTTTGTGGATAAGTTGACTTAAAGATGTTCGGAAATGAATCAAGAAAGAGGAGGGACGGTGGTTGTTTCACTTTTTTCTAATAATTGTCGTTTTATTGAACTGAATCCAATATTTTAATTGATGTTTTGTCACTTTCAAATGTTCATTACACTTTAGAATTTTTATCATTTTTTCTTTTATTTTCTTGAAAGTTTTGTCAATTTGTTGAGTGACACATCATTTTTTAATAAAAACGACATTGTATATTATTGTTTAATTGAAAAAGTGAGATTTAACTTTAAAAAGTGACAAAATGTCACACTGTGTCACTTTTTAATAAAAATGTGACATCTAATTTTACACAATATTTTTTATTTTCAAAATACTTTTCATATGATTTTTCAAAATATCCCTAATTATTAACGTATTTTTGTAAGCTGTCCATGTCTAATTCTATTTTTGGCCCGCTCAATGCGGCCCCATCAGTGTTGTTTTTGGGCTACTTTTGTGATTAGAGCCCACTTATTTTTTTCAGCCTCATGTGTTTGCTAGTGCTATTCATAAAGTGGAAATTACATCCTCCCAAATTTTTAACCTTTAATTTCAGAAATAAAATTTAAAAGTTTGTGGTACAAAAATTAGATGATAATTCAATTTTTAATATTAAATAATAATATTATAAAATTAAATCAATTTACATACTCATCGACCCATCCACCCATTCGTTTTACTCACAAACTCTAAATCATTTTCTCTTTTCTTCTCTCTTCATCATCAAAATCGACGTCGCTCACCGCTTTGAATTTACATACCCATCCACCCAGTGCAGTGGTTGCTATGAGCGCCAATACCACAGCTCTCATCGATAGGGACAAAACCAGGAGAGTAGAATTGTGGGGGCAAAATTGAAAATTATAAGGATGTAATAAAGAGTGTTTGTAACCAATTATTTAAATGATTTGTGCCTAATAAATTCGTTAATTTGTAACCCATAAATAATATATAGTCTATAAAATAAATAACTTGTAATCAATAAATAATATGTGACCTAAAAAATGTGATATTGCGATTAAATTTGTAATCATGACTCACAATTTGTTAAGTATGATCAATTAATTTGATAATTTGAGATCGAGAAATAACTTGTGACCAATTAATTTGATAATTTATAACCATGAAATAAGTTGTGGCTTATAAAGTTTGTGATTTGTTAGTGAGAAATAATACGTGATCTATTAATTTAATAAGTTGTGACCGATAAATAAATTATGATCTATAAAATTTGTTATTTGTAATCGATAAATAGTGCATGACCAATTAATTTGATAATTTTGTGACCGATAATAAATTATGACCTATGAAATTTGTGATTTATGACTGTATTGTGACTTATGAAATTTGTGATGTATAATTGTGATTAATGCGTAATATTATTTTATTGAAGAATATATGATTGAAAATAAAAAAAATTAAAAAAATGTATCTTAAAAATAATGGGGACCAAACAAAGGCTATATATCAAGTTTGATCTCTTGCCCCCAGTGTGCAAGATAAACACTCTATGTGGCAAGAGAACCTTAGCCCTGTTTGAGAACCATTATTTGAAAATCATTTTTTCTACATACTAATTTTTAACCACACAATCTCACAATAAAATATTCTGCACGTAAATCTAAAAAAAAATCTATTTTTTTCTCACAATGTAGAATTGTTTTCCTCTCCTTCAAATTTTATTAAATATATAAATCGTTGTAGTCATTCTAGTTTCCTGAGTCGAATAAATTCTCTGTCATACAAATTACTTACTACAAAAGATCTACGTAAAATAGAGAAGAAGCCTAATCGAAATAGACGAACAGGATTACATCAAAAGGGGTAAAAAACATATTCATCGTACAAACTGAATAATAGAGCAAAAAAAAGCCTATCCGCCATGGAACCAATGGCCATTCCTTGACAATTTTAGACGCTGCACTGAGTTGATAAAAGTTCTGCAAAACAAATTCCAAATTTATGTAAGTTTTTTTTTTTTTATTACCAATTTTTTAAAATTAAAATATGTTATAATAATAGTATAATGGATTGGAGACCTACTCCCATGGCATATCTCCAGCAAGCAGCCAATCACCTTCTTTATCTTGATATGCAAGCTTGTAGCCCTGCACTTTTGCCTGATTAAACACACACAAAAAGAATTATCATTCATTAAACTCTGTCTATTCAAATCCCAATATAAAAATCATTTCATTTTATTATTTACTTGTCAAATTCGTCCCAATATACAAAGTTTGTTTAAAAATTTGAATATGAGTCGATATGAAAATAAATAATATGTTTGATACGTTCCACTGACTATGTACTGTGTTTGTGTTACTTACATTGCCGAATATGGCCATCAAGGTGTCAATTAGCGCTTGATAAGAATGGTGGCGGCTTAAGTCTATCTTTCTTGCTATCCCAATTCCTTCCATCTTCACTTTAACGTACGTGGAATTTGATCTACTGCCGTCGGTGCCGCAACCATTCTTGACTGCCATATAGTTCGTGGGGGTGGTGCAGCCACGGCGGTTGTGTTGGTGGTGGCAAATCTTCATCCTCCTAGAGTTAATCGGTGGCCAGCCCACAATCCCATCTTCCTCATCAGGAAGATCAATATGATCCAACAATGGTAATGTTTGAGGGACTTGTACATTCTTGATTTCCTCAAATGTTTCATCGAAACTTCGTTTTTTCTTCATCGATCTGTAATCTTCTCCATATTCTTGTTCTTCATTGTGATTATTAAGGTCGAACCCTTCATTTAAATTGCTCGAAAGTGCAAGTTTCAGTTGCAACTCCATGTCTTCTTCCAAGAACACAAGTTACCCACAAATCAATATAAAATGAACTTGCCGTCTAGACAGATAAATGTGTTTCAAGTCGTTCGTGTATATATAAGATGGGGTGGGGTGGGGTGGGGACAAGAATGAGGTGATGTGGGCAACATTTTTGCGAGTATGTCTTTATCATTGCCAGACTTTTAGCCGACCCAAATGCCGTGGTGTTCCCAATTGTTAATCCTATATTGAGCCGACAATAGGGTTTCTTGATTATATTGAATTTCGTATGTTGTGTGGTAATCCAACACACTTTCAATGCGCGTCGTCCCCCACGCTCACTTTGATATGCTGAACTAGACATAATGCGAATTGTACTAGTCAACAGTAATCTTTAAACTTTTACCATTCGCACACCCGTCACTCGCGTGTTATGCTCCCTTGTTATACTTGATATGATGAAATATAAACTCTTGACTTACGCCCATTTGAGCCCTTTTTGCCAAAAATTTGACTATGTCCATGTTTGGCCCCTATTTTGGAGAAATTATAAATTTTGGAATAATGATTATGGAAGAATGTGTGGTTGAAAAATAATGAAAAGTTTTAATTTGCGCCTAATATTATTTTATTTGAAAAATGTGTAGTTAAAATTAAAAAGACATTTTTTTAAAAAATTAATGGTGACCAAACAAGGGCTATATTTCCCCGTACTATTTATATTATATGTGTATCACCAATGCAAAATAATAGTATTTATAGATGCTTTTCGAGGCCTCTTCTACTTACCTCCAAAGTCCAAACTCTTCATCTCCGTGAATACTAATATTGTTTCATTTTTATATAGAATAGGATCTTCTGATATGCCTCTAGCTCTATAATCTACTCATCTTTTTTAGATATCGGAAGTAGGTGCGAAAGTAAAACAATATTTTCGAGTGAACTAAAATTTAAATTCGGGTTGAAAATCATTTAACTTGTGCCATTGAGACGGGAAACATATTTCCGACGAATGGCGCGTTGATAAAACACAGTTAGTGAGAGCGTGAGGCAGTAGGACCTCCATATCTAGAGGGGGTCCGGTTGCTAAAGAAAGAGCCTAGCCCTAGATTTCAGAGTCAAAAAGATAAAGTAGAATAGGGTTCTTTTGCCCATTTCATATCATATAATCCAACCTCAAGACATGCTTTGGACGACATGTTTTCTTAACATTCATGCACTTTTACTCACTTTACCATCCAATTTCTCCATTGATAAAATGTCTGATTAAAAATTGATAAAAGTCGCGAATTCAAGAAATGTATGGTTGAAAATGAATTTAAAGAAAAATGAGTTTTAGATAATGGATTCAAACATGGGCTAAGTTTTTAAACAAGGACAGACAATGTAGTATTCAAGTAGATAAAGTTCTTAAATTCAAATCTTGTTAATATCGATTTATGAAATTGTGCAACATCGATGTTTTGACTAAAAATTAATAAATCATCCATGTATATAGTAAATGAATGCATCAAATCTTTAATAGTTTAAGTTTTTAGATGATATTCAATACAACTAGTTTAGGGGTGTTTCTTCAACTAGAAATATAATTTTAACAAATTATGTAGAGATAGACAAATGTTTGGCGCGATGGTACGAGGCTCATAAGCAAAACCCACATCAAAAATTTGCATAATATTTTTTTAAAAAGTCATTTTTCACTTAAAAAAAGTTTATTCTAAACAAACGTTTAGTATCCTAAACTAGCCGACAACCAAATAAATGTCTTGTCCAAAATAGAATCACGTGATTACAAGGTGAATAAACCCTAGACAACTGCACTAAACAAATCAATAATCATGTCTTCATGTCCTTGGCATTTTCCTCATGTAACAAAAATATGAAAATAAACAAAAAATTATGTCAAAGTACCAAGAAACATATGTTCCCAATATGTTTTATTTTGTTAATCTTAGGTCCTAATGTAATGACTGCATCACTTAAAGCACAAGACTAAACTAGCCGACAACTAAATAGATGTCTTGTCCAAAAAAGAATCTCGTGATTACAATGCGAATAATCCCTAGACATCTGCTCTAAACAAATCTATAATCATGTCTTCATGTCCTTGGCATTTTCCTCATGTAACAAAAATATGAAAATAAACAAAAAATTATGTCAAAGTACCAAGAAACATATGTTCCCAATATGTTTTATTTTGTTAATCTTAGGTCCTAATGTAATGACTGCATCACTTAAAGCACAAGGTGTGTGTTGAATTTGACAACATTGTCTCTTCACAACCATACATGTCAATTCTCAAGTCCATATCATAAGAAGATTGAGAGGGAACATGTCACGTGGATTGCACGTGATTATTCCACCAAATCACGAGGTTGTCATTTACCTTCGTTCGGATATCAATTTATAAGTTCAATCAAAGTCATTTTGTATCTCGACTAAAGTGTCTGGTAGAGCATTTTTAAAATTATTATGCTACTTGTACAAATGTGGTTTACAAAAGTGTGTTGACAAAATGATGTAACAAAATCTAGGTCGTTGATTTTAAAAACTGTTTTTTAAATCAATGGCCAAGATGTTGCTAACACGTATTTTGTAAACCAATTTTGTATCCTAACTTTGTACAAGTAGCATGACTCAATCCACCTTAGATAGGATTAAAAATAGGAAGTTAAAAGTCCCCCGAGGCATAGTTCAGTGGTACAAAAGACAGTGGTAAAGTAATCTCAACTGAGCTGGCAACCGCAGTGTGATGGTTCGATTCCTAGCTCTTACAAGGTATGGAATTGGACTCTTTGTGGGTACCAATAAGGCAGCTCTTGTACCCGGCCTGCTGAAACACATCCCGCGATTTACCTCATCCACAATGCTCTAGGGGTGAAACGGGGGAGGGCGGGGCGGGTTCAACCTTAAAAATAGGAAGTTAAAATTTCATTTATCTTATTGTCCAATCATTTTCATTTTAAAGTTTTTTTGAATGTGACAAAATCTTGGACTCACCTAGTAGTTCTCTGGCGAGTAGTTTCCTGTAGATAGTGGACCACGATGATCTGTAATTTCGTGGATTTCAACAACTCACTTCTTGAATTGATTATGTAACTTATTAGTCAACAGTGCCTAAACAGGTCCCCCATATCTCTAGCCCCCTAATTTCCACATCAATTTCTCATTCAAGAGGTCCCCCTTTGTTAAATTTTTCTCATTTAAAGAGGTCCCCAAGTTGTAATAATTTTCTCATTCGTGGACCCCTAAACCCCCACCCATTCCCCAATTTCTCATTTAAAGAGGGGTCCCCAATTTGTTGAAAGCATGGTAATTCCAGGACTTCTGTTGCACGGCATGGACATTTCTATCTAAAATTTCGATAAAAGTCATCAAATATTAAAAGTGCGTGCAAGTGTGTATTTGCCTGTGTGTACACTTTCCTATTTATATGCGAGTATATATATGACTTGAGAAGAACGTTAATGGGAGAAGGTGTGTTATTGTCGTGAATAGATGTTTGGGGGAAGCATGTCATGACCAAAGTTTGAGAGCACGCCACAAACGAAGAGGTCGGGGGTACACCATTGACCATCAAGGAGTTGGGATCATGTAAGGTTTTTTCTATTTCATTTTTTGTTATTCTTTATTGAAATTAAGTACTCATCAAGTTTATTCCTTAAAAAAAAAGTTGGATATGTGACCTTCACGTGCCATTTTGGTGTATTTGGAAGACAATGCAGTAGGACTAATAGTGCAACAGCAATGAAAGGATGATGACCAAATCCATTATAAATGATAAGATCCGACATGCCACAAAGGCCGGAAGTGGTTGACTAATGGTGCAAATTTTAGGGCTGGACATGGTCCGGTAGAACCTCACCAAATTTTTCGAGTATTTAATAAATAGAATCGTCGGGTCCAAATATAATTATGATTCGGTTCGGTTCGATTCGGTTCCGTACCATAATTAATTTTTTTAACAGATTTTTAATAGTCAACGATCGGTGGTCTTGGTTGGAGGTCGCGACTTCGAGCGGAGTTGGAGAGGAGAAGTCGGACTTGGCAGTCAGCGGCTTCGATTTATTTATCAAATGATTTTGGGTCAGTGACTCAGTGGTTACCGAATGAAAGTGTGAAATTAGAAAAAGAATGATAAAAACTTAAAAAGATCTAAATCTTGGATTAAGAATAAAATTAATAAGGGCTACTTACACAAATATCCTATATTTTGGGGCAGTTCTGAAAAAACATAACAAAATTGGATTAAGTGGTAATTAAGGAAATTTTAACGTATTTTATACGCTCAAACAGAGAAGATTTCGGTATGAACGTAAACCAGCCTCCAAATTGGGAAAAAAAAAAGGAAAATTAGAAGGAGTGAGGAAATCATCCACAAATTTGTTCATTATTCGAAGTTTTGGAAGAAGATCAAGGTTATTTCATTATTGAAAGCTTTGGGAAAAAATTGAGATTGTCAATTTCTGATTTTTTTTTTTTTTTTACTCCTNAACCAGTCAAAACGGTTTGGTTTAAAAATTTGTCAAAAACCGCAAAAACCGGACCGCTTACACCCCTAGCAACAGCAATGAAAGGATGATGACCAAATCCATTATAAATGGTAAGATCCGACATGCCACAAAGGCCGGAAGTGGTTGACTAATGGTGCAAATTTTAGGGCTGGACATGGTCCGGTAGAACCTAACCAAAATTTTCGAGTATTTAATAAATAGAATCGTCGGGTCCAAATATAATTATGATTCGGTTCGGTTCGGTTCGATTCGATTCGATTCGGTTCCGTGCCATAATTAATTTTTTTAACAGATTTTTAATAGTCAACGATCGGTGGTCTTGGTTGGAGGTCTCGACTTCGAGCGGAGTTGGAGAGGAGAAGTCGGACTTGGCAGTCAGCGGCTTCGATTTATTTATCAAATGATTTTGGGTCAGTGACTCAGTGGTTACCAAATGAAAGTGTGAAATTAGAAAAAGAATGATAAAAGCTTAAAAAGATCTAAATCTTGGATTAAGAATAAAATTAATAAGGGCTACTTACACAAATATCCTATATTTTGGGGCAGTTCTGAAAAAACATAACAAAATTGGATTAAGTGGTAATTAAGGAAATTTTAACGTATTTTATACGCTCAAACAGAGAAGATTTCGGTATGAACGTAAACCAGCCTCCAAATTGGGAAAAAAAAAAGGAAAATTAGAAGGAGTGAGGAAATCATCCACAAATTTGTTCATTATTCGAAGTTTTGGAAGAAGATCAAGGTTATTTCATTATTGAAAGCTTTGGGAAAAAATTGAGATTGTCAATTTCTGGTTTTTTTTTTTTTTTTTTTTTTTACTCCTCCTTCAATTAGTTCTCCAATTTTCAACCATCTATCTCACTTCTATTTGAATTCCATGATTAGATTTAATTTAAACCTTATAGTGTAAATAATTAACATTTATAAAGTTTCTTTTTGATGATTGTGTTATTTTGTTTGGAAACACGTATAAAAAAATAACTTTGGATCCGTTAAATTTTTTATACTTATAAGGTGTTTGACAAAAGAATAATGTGAATTCTGCCACCTTTTCTATGAAAAAGTGACGTTTTGTCACTTTTCTCAAAAAAAGTCACACGCCCTCCCCAATCTTGTGACCCTTTAACCCCTCCTTTCCTAGTCTTGAGCCCCTTTAACCCTTTGTTATTATATTTGAAAATATGTTTGAAAATAACATTATTGAACTTCAGAGAGAATGGATTGTCAATACCTATGAAAAAATAGTTTTGAATGTGTTAAATCATTGATGCATGTAAAGTGTTTGACAAATGGATAATGTGAATTCTGCCACTTTTCTATGAAAAAGTGACATTCTATCATTTTTCTCAAAAAAACTACACTATATCCTTGAAGCAATTAATTAGATGCATACGTATGCATTTTTGAAATTTTTAACATACCAATTCATGCCCCGTTTTATTGTAATACATATGAAAAAGAAAATTTTTAATCAATTAAATCATTGATGCGTGGAAAGTGTTTGACAAAAGGAGAATATGAATTTGTCACATTTCTATGAAAAAGTGACATTATGTCACTTTTATACAAAAAAGTCACAATTGGACGTAATTAATATTTCATTAAAATGTTTAATTAGAGTTTAAGGGTATTAATCAAAAACACCTAAAAAAAAGGGTACTATGCCTAATTTTCCCAATTAATAATAAGATCAAAAAATTAAATTTAGAAATTGGGTTGGGTTGGGCTGGGCTAGCTAGGCATGGACTTGGCTTGACAGTTAGAACATTAATCACTAAATTAGTTAATTTGCTAATTTGTTCGGGAAAAATATTTAAAAATTTAATTAATTCAATATAAAAATTATTTAAATTCAGTTCTTATTCAGTTTTTTGGTTCTAGAACTGAGAACCGAACCGAATCTGTCGATTCTCTATTCAGATACCCGTTCGGGTATTTAACTTATGAAAAATCGCTCGATTAGGTTCGGTTCGTGTTCTGTTCGGAAGTTTTGTCCAACCCTAGCAAATTTTCCTAAATGAATTACTAATTCATACGAGTTGACTGTGACAAACTCATCCTCATTCTAATTTTTGGGCAAAGCTCCACATGCAACTTCAGTGCTTGTTTGAGCATTATAATTTAAGAATGGATTTTGAAATAGTAAATTAATGAAAAATGTATTGTTAAAAAATAAAGAAAATTTTTAAATTTGAGAGTAATATTATTTTATTGAAAAATGTGCGATTGAAAATAAGAAAGAGAAAAAAGTTTTGGAAATAATGAAAATCAAACAAGGGCTCAGTACACCATAACGCTCAACACGAAACTATAATCGATAAAATTATAACTTAACCCTTGTTTGATCATCATTATTTTCAAAATACATTTTTTCTCTTTTTTCAATCACACATTTTTCAATAAAAAACATTACCCAAATCCTAAATTTTTGCTTATTTTTTAATTATATATTCTCCATCAATTTACTATTCCAAAATACATTCTTCCATAAAAATGGGGTTAAAATAGGCTCTTGATTTTTATTTTTATTTTTAAAGATGATCGGTGCCAAATTCATACTAAAAAAAATTGACAAATAGATAGCTCATAAATGTCTCTCACAAACAAAAAAAATCACGTTACATGTACGTTATCCCTTACCCCTTCATTTACACTCTTCCACAATACAACATCTACACTTGATTTTGAACTTATTCGCCAAATCACTGTACAAATTTTCTCCATATAAAAAATAATGTCATTCAAGTAGTCAGGAAGAATGTGCATATAACATTACTCAACAAAAAAAGTTACACCATAACAATTTTCTGTAGGCAAGGGAATCTGCCCCAGTCAGTACAAAACAAAATCAAAAAAGGTAGGGGGGGGGGGGGGGGGGCCCCAAAATAAAATGCCGACGTCGGACGTCGGACAGTGCATTTGCGAATCCCAGCTATTTGTTCCTCTTTCAGGGACCCTAATTCAAATGCGTGTTGAATTGAACCAAAGTTCGTGTAGTTTTTTATACTTATGTCATGACTGACAATTTTATTTATAATTTTTTGCAAACACAATTTACCATTAATTATCTTCAAAAAAAAAAAAAAATTACCATTAATTTTAACAATTATGATTCAAAGCAATGATCTCGATTTTGACACCTTAAATTATGTCAAACTAGTTGTGCATCTTGAGTGTATAAGTATCTTAATTCAAGTTTGTGTCCCATCTCAAAGTTTGTGCACGTTACATCGACGTCATGTTAAACATAGTGTTAAAAAAGGAATCATATTATTTAATTTCGTGCTTAGTGTCAACTAGATAACATTAAATGATACATTTAAGAGTAGTGTCATTCAGTACCATTGGTGTCAATCACCACTCTGAACAATTACATGACATTAAATGATTTACTCAAACGTTGTTTGATTGCCATTGTTAGAAAAAAAAAAGTTTTGAATAGTGATTTTAGGCGTATGTGGTTAAGAAGTAGAAATTTTTTTTAAATTTATGTACAGAATATTTTATTGTGTGAATATATGATTGAAAATAAATATGTGAAAAAAGAGTTTTTAAATAATTGCGGTCAAACGGAGAGTAAATGTAATGTCGTATAATTCATTTAATTGAATCCATTAAACTAGTGATATAGTGATGATAGATTGCATTATTTTTTATTTAAATACAAAGTCAAAACAATTCATTTAAGCAGATCTATCAAGTGTGTCTATCTGGATTGATGCTCTATCATGGATAACATTATTCTAAAAAAAAAAAAGAATTGCATACTTTAATTGAGAGATCAAATTCGGATGATTAGGATAAGATAATTTGTGCTTTTTTATTTTAATTTTTTTTGGGCTTTGGCATTTTCGTTCCAACCTTTTCGAAATATTATTAATTCACCCTCAACTTCTTTTTTTTTTTTTTTCTTTTTTGACACCATACATTTTCAATCTTTCGATGATGTAACAAAACTCATATTTCCACCATTTTGGCCACGTAAAATGATGAATTTGTCAATCTGTAAATAAACATAAAAACAAAAAGTAAATAAATAAAAAAATAAAATTGCAGTAAAAGTCCTAATTTAGAAAAACTCCTTAAGTACGGGAATTTTTGCCAGAATTTTGAAATGAATGAATCCTGTCCATGTGTGTATTTTTTCCCTCCTCCAATCTTTCAATCATTTCCATTCATTTCAAATTCCTGTATGTTTTCTGTTAAAAAACCCTGTACTCATTGCAGTGCTCCCTAATTTATTCTAAATAATCAATAAATCTTCTTCTCCACTCACTCAAAAATCGACCCCCACAACCCCACCTAAACACCAGCTGCCACCACTACCCTGTTATTATTATTTTAATTCTTAAAGCAAAAAATCGATTCTTTTCAAAGTTGTATTCAAAATTGATATCTGTTCTAATAATTTCATCTGTTTTTCCCAGTTTTGACCCCCATTTCTCACCAGCTACATAACAAATACAACTCGATTCGATTCCAATTCTTAACTCCCATTTGTTACTGTTACCATATTGTATTTGGCAAGGGCATATATAACTGAGATTTTCCACTGAACAAGTTCTTTTTCTAGCGTTAAATTTAAGAAAAAAGGTTAAGAAATAGAGAGGATAGAGGATAAAAATGGCCAATCTGGAATTGTAGATGAGCCTCAAATGGAGCTGATCCATGGAGAAATTCGTCACAATATGTGCTGAGAAGATTTTTTATTTAGTTTTTTCCTTCTATATAAATTTATTTAAAGAGAGGACAAATTCATTATTTTACTTGGTCAAAATGGCAGAAGGATGAATTTTGCTAAAATAATAATAATAATAATAAATGTTTGGTGGTACACTAGTAACATGTCGAAAAGATGATACCAAAAACCCACTCCTTTGTCCCATAAAGATAGATTTGTTTCTATTTTTACACAAATTATGAAAACTTAATTAATATACGTCGGAACTACAAATTTTTACATACATTTTTCCTAATATACCATATGCTGAACTAAAGGTAGTTCGAACATAAGTACAAATTTTATAACATAAGAATTTTGAACTCAAAGATAACATATGTTGAATTAATGGCAGCATAAGTAAATACAGACACATACTATTGATTGTTGATTCTGAATAGGCTAGAACATAATAAACAAATTATTGCAATCATGCTTTGAATTGGGTGGCAAACCATTTCTAACCTCAGCATATGTAAATTTACCACATCATCCACATTAGCAACTCCGAATTTAAAACAGTATTGGTTCACAAGAAATGGAAGCCCAGTAATATATCAATGTCAATTCCAAAGTCACAGTAAAATCAAGAGTAAGATGTACTACTCCCACTAACCTCCGGATTTTCCTCTTGAACGAAAGACGGGTATGCACAGCCAAAGCACCATATCCATTATTTATATTGGGAAATGTAATCTTGAAGAGACTCTTATTCTTACTTACGTCGTCGACCTGGCTTTGTTTGTCTTTTTCGGTTGCTTGAAGATGATAGATTTGATTCTACAGGCAAAACAGTCCCTCCCTTAATGCTGTCTGAATCTTTCGTGTTTGCAACCGTTCGCTGGGCTTCAACAAAAAATTTTAAGTCTCTAATCTGCAGGCAAAAGATTATATTTTTTAGGTGGCCAAACAGCAATCAGTGTACAATATGTTAATGTAATCAAGGTCTAAAGAAGTCAATGAAACTGTCAAAGATACAGAACCCAAACCTGCTCTTGTAGATCTGTGACTTTTTCCTCCTTGGATTTGAGAGAGAGTCCTTCCCTATAAATTGAGAAACCGATTTATCAACTCAATAAGCTTGGATTGACCAAGTCCAATTAATTTCAAGAAATTGAAATTATTCAGTGATGTTTTCCTAATTTGTATTAAAAGCACTTCATCATGCCATTATATTTATATAAAATTTGTACAGATCGAAAAAATTTAATGAATTGCGAGAAGAGAAGCCCACGGGAATGTAGAGAATAAACATTGTCTTAGTAGGAATTAACTACAAAATAACTGGGCCACTGTTTGACAACCATTATTTGGGAAAAATTGAGTTTTGATAGTATTTTTTTGAAAAGTAGGGAAAAGTTCTATGTTTACGTGCATAATATTTTATTGTGTGAATGTGCGGTTGAAAATGAGTATGTAGAAAAAAGATTTTTGAAATAATGGTTGTCAAACAGGGGCTGAATTGTTGTTGAAGTATCATGTTAATAAATATGAAATATTGAAGTCACATCATTCAAAAATCCCAAGGACTTAAATTTACATGTAAATGGAGAAAGAGAAGGATGTACCTTTCTTCAATTGCTTTGAACTTTTTCTGCTGCAATTCTTGTTTTTTCATTAGCTTTCGATTCCTCTAACAAGAAGAAAGAGCAAGACACATTAGATCAAATTGTAAGATGAGCTAATGAAAATATAAGCCACGCAAAGATACAAAATATGAAGCATCAGGGAGAACAGGATATTTACATCTGCAACAGCCTTTTTTCCCTCTTCATAACTTTCCAATTTATCTTGTAAATCATGTGTCCTTGAAAATATTGCCTTCTCAACTGCTTTTGCTATTGAGCTTTCCTTTCTACTCTTTGCCTTGGCGAGTAAAGATTCATAATGCTGAGAGAAGACATGGGGTAAAGTTCAGAAGGAATAACATAAAACTTTACTCTTCGAACGTGTTACAACAGTTAGACTGATACAGTAGCTTATCTGCTGCTAGTACAAACTCATTGTTTAGTTAAAGATTAAACCTTCGATTATTTCAGCATATATATGAACTAGCTAACTCCGCCTATATTTCATAGCCAATCCGAATGGAGGGGGAGAGGGGGGGTGGCTGTGGTACGTCAAAAACCAGCAAAAACTTTGTACCATATGATATGAATTATACACATTTTTTGGGGGGTGTCACTAACTAGCAAATGCTGCATCGGATCCCAAGTGCAGTGAAAAGTTGGGAAGTGTTAGCCAGGGGCCCAGGGCATACCCATAAGTGATTCGGCAGTTCAGTGCTCATCAGTGTTGAAAGTAAGCAAGGTTCCTGTGTCTAGTAGATGGAGGTAAGGAAGTTAGTCACAGATAATGGAATTAGGGGATAGGATCTCGAAATATTGGGATGCTTCCCCAGAAAATCCTTAGGAACTAGTAGATGTGATAACTAGAAGGAAATTTAACTTGAATACAAGAGGTCAAAGAGGTGGGAGAGAATTATGAAATTAGGGAAAACGGGATATGAAGTTTTGGCAATTTATGCAAGGAAAATAATAGGAATGGAATAGGAATAATTATTGAACCAGGTTTAGAACAGGAGATCGTAAAATTTTAGTTGTGTTGATCTTACTATACAAATCCAAGATGAGGTTCTTTGATGTATTTTTGGTTGACAATACTAGAAGGGGTTAAACTGTAAGTTAGCATGATGAGAAAGGGTGCAAAATTCCTGTGTGGAAGGAAGATCTCGAGTTAAAAGCCCAATTATAGACAGCTGTAGAGTTGCTATACTTGTACTGGTGTTAGGCTGTTAAAAGACAATATTCAGAAGATGAATGCAGCAGAAAAGAGGATGCTTAGATGAATGTGTCATCATACTAAAATGAATAAGATAAAAAATGAAATATTTGCAAACAAGTGGAGCTGAGTACCCTCGAGGATAAGTTAAGGGAAAGATGACTTGAGTTGTTGGACGTCTTAGCGGAGACCAAAGAAGCTCCTTCTATAAGAATGATTGTGATCTCAGTAGTACAGGTTAGTAGAGAGAGAGAGGTAGACCAAAACTAACATCACATTTGTCAAGTACCTAGTAACTATAAATATTTCGCTAGATGTAAAAATGAACCAAAGTGACCCTAAACTTATAGTGAACAAAAGTTAGCTTTTTAACATACAAAATAACCACAGGCGTTTAATTACTTATGATAGATAACCCAAAATTATGAATACAGGCTTTCACTTACTTTTCTCTGAATCTCCAGCTGACCTGCTAGGAGATGGTTGTACTCATCCACAATCTATTGCCACAAGAATAAACTTTACCACGTTAATCCAGCACTCAATACCCACAAGTTGATAAAATAAAGTAGAAAATGTTGCTCATAGCTAATACTGATTTTTTGTTTCGAAGTTTTTGATACAGGGGAATGCTCAAAATGATAATTTCAACAATGGGCAGCAGTCAAAAATAATGCAGATATATGTAATATCAACAACTAAATGTATTGTGTGTGAGAAAAAGAGAAGTACCGCTTCAACTTTGCTGTCAAAAAGGGCACCATCTAATTCTGCTCCTCCATCACACCCACAAGTATCGCACTCTCCAACTGAACTGCAGTGTGAACTTTTCATGACCGATTTGCCATCAACTTTTGATTGATTTAGTCGATGCACATATTTATCTCCAACATAATCCCAAATTTGTTGTTTTTCTACTTCAAGTGAAAAGCGATGCTGTTTATTACTCCCGTGTCCACTAGCATGACCTTTTTCATACCTATATTGCACAAGATGATATCAACCAGATACAATTCCACATAATGAAGTAAATATATAAAGATTAAATGAAAAACGACATGGATATTGAAAATTAGGCCATCAAACAACTAAAACTGAGTCTCATTTACCTTCCACATCCTACAAAACCACAGATCAAGCAAACCCAAAGGTTGTTTAGAGTTCCACACACAGAACAGGCTGGTTTCTCATCTTGTTGACAAAGCCGACAAACCTGCAAACAAGAATAGCGCAAAAGAAGCAATAATGTTGGAAGGTCATCTGATATTTCATTTTTCACAGTACAGCACTGAGCCTACATTAATAATCGATAATCTTGCATTTCCCTACCAAAGAGATAACCAAAAATAAGAGTCCACGCTTGCTTATGAAAAAAAATAACTACAATATTAAAATGTTTTTAATGGAGGTATTTTGTCCCTTAAAAGTCAGTCTTGTATTTTCTCATTTGTTGGAGACCAGGACTAGACCCCCTTTTCTGAACAACTGTTTCTGATTAATACATCACCAACCTTTTAATGGTTAAAAAGAAGAACACAAGAACACGTTGAATGTTTGTTTGTTTGTATTTGTTCCATATGGACTCAACACTCCATAAATAAAGATAAGCTAAAATTTGTGCCAGAATAATGGTCTCATTTGGTCCATGTCACTGTTGATGTTGAATGTTGAAAACAAATTTCAAGTAAACAAATTTGTCCTAACTTTAAAAACTTAAAGCTTTTAGATAAGATAATTCAATATATCATGAGTAAGTAAATGCCTAAGCTCAAGTGTCACAACTACATAGTTATGCAAATTGTGCACGTGTGATGGTTTTTATTTAAAAATGGACCCGACCAAAAATTAAGTAAATAAATAAATATGTAGCCACTTTGATTGTTCAACACCAAATATCAACAAAATTACCAAAACATCCTTTTATGACACCTTGGAGACTTCTGATACTGATGAATGTTGTATTCAACCGTACGGATGTCTCCATGTCTCATATTGATAGATTCTTGTATTCAACGGATTGGGAAGACCATTTTCCAGCTATCCATCAAAAGCGTCTCCCTAGACTCTTGTCTGATCACTATCCTATTATGCTGGAGTGTGGAGACTTTTCCAGGGGTAAGAGACTCTTTCGTTTTGAAAATATGTGGTTGAAATCGGAGGGTTTTGTGGATCTGGTGAAAGGGTGGTGGGAGTCTTATCACTTTAAAGGCACACCTAGTTTCATTCTGGCTAGGAAACTGAGAGCCCTAAAGTTAGATTTGAAAAAATGGAATGTGGAGGTTTTTGGGAATGTTCAGAATAGGAGGCAAGCTTTGTTTGTACTTAATGTGTTGGATGGGGAGGTGGAATTACGTTCTCTATCTAGTGAAGAAAAAGATCAGAAAATTCAGCTTGTGGAGGAATTGGAAAGGTCTCTTTTGCAAGAGGAGATCAGTTGGCGTTAGAAATCTTGAGCCATTTGGTTACAAGGTGATAAAAATACTAAGTTTTTTCATCGCATAGCTAACTCCCATCGCAGGAATAACTCCATCTCTTCTCTAATGATTAATGGAGAGTTATCTACTGATCAAGAGGCTATTTCAACGGGTATCACTCAGTTCTATCAAGATTTATACCAGGAAGGAGGGTCTAGGAGACCGATGCTTGATGTGCTGGAATTTTCTATGATCTCAACTGAGGATTCGGTTTGGTTAGGGAGACCCTTTGAGGAGGAGGAAGTGCTGGAAGTTATTCAAGGGTTCAATGGAGATAAAGCTCCGGGTCCAGATGGTTTCTCTATGGCTTTCTACCAAGTCTGTTGGGCTGTTGTTCACTCGAATATCATGGCTGTTTTGAGGGCTTTTCATGTGTCTAGATCATTTGAAAAAAGTTTTAATGCCACATTCCTAGCTCTTATTCCTAAAAAGGTGGGGGTGGTTGAGGTGAAAGATTTTCGTCCTATTAGTCTTGTGAGTGGGCTCTACAAGATCTTGGCAAAAATTTTGGCTAACAGGTTGAGGTTGGTGCTGCCAAAGATAATCTCATCATCTCAGAACGCTTTTGTCCAAGGAAGACAGATTTTGGACTCGGTTCTTATAGCTAGTGAATGCTTGGATAGTAGACTGAAGAATGGGGGGTCGGGTGTTTTATGCAAACGTGATGTGGAAAAAGCCTACGTCCACGTTAATTGGGAGTTCCTTCTTTATTTGCTATAGAGATGCGGATTCTCGCAGTTATGGATTTCGTGGATTAGTTTCTGCATTTCTACGGTTAGGTTTTCCATCCTAATTAATGGTAGCCCGAGTGATTTTTTGCGAGTTCGAGGGGCCTAAGGCAAGGGGATCCGTTATCACCCTTACTTTTTGTTATTGTTATGGAGGCTCTCAGTCGGATTATGGATCGGGCTATCAGTGGAGGTCTTTTTTCGGGTTTCATGGTGGGTTCCCCTCGTGATCACCAAGTTTGGATATCTGACCTACTTTTTGCGGATGATACTTTGATTTTCTGTGATGCTGATCCGATTAAATTGGAGCATTTGCGT